TACTTTATGACATTGTAGAGTAAAATGCAATTGTTTCTCAATGACACTAATTTATTTTCTTCGTTATTTTTGGAATATTTACATGAGAGAGTATAAAAATGACTTATTTACACACGGACTATAATAATAGGCAGTGTTGATCGTGAACACTAACCATACATGTTGTTAGAGATAGCTCTCTGTGCAGAAGATATCTGGTAGCAGTTGAAACGGCTGCTCATGTAATCCTGGAATGCGCGAGTGTGGCAGAACAACGGGCACTCATCCTCATCGGTCACCGAGGACGCTCCTAGAAGCCTGTGCGAGTCCCAGGAGGCTACTGAGCTTCTGGAAGGAGCTGGGCTGGCTGAGCTAGCTCGTTCCACAACCCTGCACGCACAATAGTCCAAAATCGAGAGTCCACGTGCGGAAACGGAGGCCCACCACAAGTAACAAGTAAGACTACACTGTTAACCGATTATATTTCAGATCAACGTGAAACAAAATAACTATTGACGCGTTCAACCAAACAAACTAATACTTTGGTTTTTTAATATCAGTATTTATTTAGGTATGTGCGTTAAAGGATTGATTGACTTTTCAGGTTTTTAATATCATTATTGATTTAGGTATGTGTGTTAAAATATTTGATAAATTATCACCAGAAAACAAAAGAAATCCATGTATGCAAAATTATTAGAAAGTTTGCCACTTTACACCACCACCAACTCCATAACACTCTATACATTAAGGGTAGATGAAGTAACTTCTTCTCGGTATTGTAAAAGATTGTGTCTTTAATTGGTGTGTTTATGATACGACTTATTTATAAGCAGAATTTAAAACCGAATGTTTGCCTCGTGTGACTTTGGTGAGTAACCTTGTGTTACCTAAGAGATAAAAGAGTGAATTATTTATCTTGTGTGTTGAATTTCAGATTATGAACTAGTTTCATCTTACCTGAGGACACCATAAAACTTACTTTTTTGCTTCAATTGAAATAAATGACTATGATTACATAAATTAATAGCAGCGATATGCGAATTCGATGATTCATAAAACTTCGGGTAGTACCTAAAATATAAGCATTTTTTTTAATTCAAAAGCTCTGAAACTAAAAAAAAATTTTTCATTAGCAACCCTGAATTCTTTTGTCATTAAGGTATGTAAGAAACCAAGAAGGCTAGGCACCACGCTCACTAAAACTCAATACAATATAGGTAAAAAACATAGATAAATGATTGGTCTCGCTACAGCGTAGCGATCATTTTATCTATGGTAAAAAAGTTATTTTTGACAATAACGTCTAGAAGCACTCTTTATATAGAAAGAATAATTTTATTAGTCATATTATTAAATAACCCACCAAAGTGATGTATTTCTGATATCGAAACCAAACATACTTTCTATGACTTTAGAATTTTCGAGATTTACTTAGATGACTTTCCTTATCATGTAACCCGGAGTTTACGCAGATATTAAAGCGGGTACTTACATAAATATGATTTTCAAGTCACAATGGTTGAAGTGAACGAGTCGAGGCGGTAAGGTCGCATGACGATGTTCGTGTCTCTGGTGTAGGGCTGGTCCTTCGATTCTGTCATTTTTATCATTAAAAGTACAAATATCATACCAAACATACTATTTTAAAAGTGCTTACGTTATTTTTTAACAGTGTATAAGTATTTGTAGTATAGTACAGTGTATAAAGCAAGGGTATAGAAGACTTCCGAGTAATGGAGCGGTTGCGGTTGGTTCCAACTTACAAAAGCGTAAACACTGAGTTGGTGTTGTTTTGGGAAGTAATGTTCCTGGGCTCCAAAAGGTAGTGGATTCAATTCAGACTGGCAAGTTGAGGATTGGAGTAAGTCCACATTTTTGTGCCTCTTAAACGATTAACCTCTTTGACCTTTCCACCTCACGGTACGGACTTAGCTGATGGGCTAGGCGCAAAAATTGTAAGAATTTTCCGTCATCACCATCAACTTTTTCTTAGCATATTGTGTGTAGTTGTGTACTATACTTATGTTTATTTTTAACTTCGTTTCAACCGAGTGTTCCACCACATTCACTTTTTTATATTTATTCTTTGATTTTTATACCTAAATTCTGTCCTCGTCAGCATAATAATATTTGATTGAAAAACATGTCACTGTGACAAGTATGATCAATTCATGTAATTGGAGAATAACCGTCTTGAGGATCTAAAGTGCTAAATTCATTTGATAAACATGTTCTGGTGTCTCATAGTCATAATAGTTTTTCAAAATCCTGCTTACTTTAAAATTCTTATTGGTTTTTTTAAGTATTTAATATAGTATTAACAGACAACCCTGTGACGAGGCCGCGAAGTGCGCACACACCTGTGTCTGTGTTAATGTACTTATCGCACTTAACTTTGTTATGCATCGCTCACAACAAAGTACAGTGGAACACAAAATCCTAGTAATTGGTTATTAAGGATTTTTCATATCGTCAATTAATGAATCATGTTCATGATGTGCCGAGATAGTGTTCTTGCCACTTACATTGAATGATGTCATGAGTTTTATTATGTGGATAAAAGAATTTACTCCAGAAGTCCAGACTGTTATACAATTTACAAGTGCACCATATTTCATTTCAATTAGTTCTAGTGTTCCGGTTTCATTGAATAACAAACAAACATTAATATATTTTTTTCATTCATAGAAATGTAACACTAATTATGTAATACCTTAAGGTCGGTCTGAAAGGTTTTCAAAATTGGTTTTCAAGATTGAATGTAAGAAATTGTTTTAATGCTACTTTGTTTACAAACTCTTTCGTCGTGGTGTTTGCTCTCTGCTATACACAACCAAGCTACTAGTTTCATCACCTGACATTTAATAAATAAAATAAAATGAAGTAATATGTTTAACTGGGGAATATTCAGTTTACGACTTTATCTTCTATTTAAATCATTGTAGAGACCGGCCCTGTGGCGCAACGGATAACGCGTCTGACTACGGATCAGAAGATTCCAGGTTCGAATCCTGGCAGGGTCGCATACAGCTGAGGTTCACTTAGCTCTTTTTTACTCAGACAATATATAGGTATGTAATAATTTTCTTGTGTTGATTAGCGGTATTGTTATAAAGAATTACTGTATTGGGATTGGGCAAATATTAGCGAACAAATCTTAATAATTCAGCAATTACCAAGTTTTTACAGTCAATATTAAATTTTACCGCATTGAACATAAAACGCAAAATCAGAAAAGTGCCGTGATACAGCTGTTGATTAAGAATTATGAACTTTATTTAAGATGAGTTTTGGTAGCATTCAGTTTGAAGGTGCGCTTTGTTTGAAGAATTAAGGTGCGCGCAGCTGACCAAATATTGAAGCTACAATAATTGGCTTCAACAGTGACGCAATGACATGATATTTTCTGGCATTATGTTGAAAAATAGTAATCGTTAATTTATAAAATAGCGGACGCCCACTACTTCGTCTGCATTATCTTTAATTTTTGAGAATCCCAAAAGTACTTAACATTTTCTGGGATAAAATGTATCCTAGTCTCAATCCAGGTCATAAATAGGGTTACCAACTTTTTTTCTATAAATATAGTCTTTTCAAAGCTGTTAACTTTAAAAATATAGTAGATGGCAAAAAATGAAAAAGATATAGCATCAGGTTAAAATATTTACTTTAATTTTGAAATTTTCTTTAATGTTTGCTGCTCTATGCCCTAAAAATTTTTTTTTTATATTTTTAAGATATATTTTAGTAGTAAAAGTGTACTTTATACAAAATAAAGTAGTTCCGCCTACTATATATATTTTTAGAAAGATAGTTAAAGATCCTCTAATACAGTAGGATACTAAATTATACAGTAGAGTTGGCAACCCTAGTCATAAAATACATGCCTATCAAATTTCATCCGAATCTATTGAGTAGATTTTACGTGATTGAATAACAAACATACAATTTTTTACATATATAACAGCAGGATAGGACCTCTACATTGTGAGATAGATACTTTTAGGCATTGCATTATATTTTGCAATAATGTAAAGGAGATGCCGGTATAATAATTTAATCGAGACCTACTGAAGTATTTACGAAAAATATGTCATTTAGTACCTATTTATGAAAATTACTTTATAATGTGTTCTGTAATCTCCTATTTAATGATGTGGAGCTGCCGTCATTATTTTAGTACTCGTCACTTCTGCACGAAAGATTTCATAATTTTGGTAAAAATTTCTTGTTCTGTAAGATTTTTCAATTTTATAGTCGGGTTAGGAGAGGTTTAATTTTAAATAAAAGTTGGAAGTGCTGTCATTATTTTTTTTATTTTCTGTTTCAGTGTTGGTTCTTATCGAAAAAAAATCAGTGCATAATATATATAACTAGAACGAAATATGGAAGAATAAATATATTGTGAATAATTAAGGTATTTTTTTATTTTACAATTTGTGACACAAATAATTAATATCAGAATAGAAAGGCAAAAGTAGTAATGACCGAGCTTAAATCATCACATATCTGCAGTCTTGCAAATTAATTGATAATATAGAAAGAACGATAATTTCTAACAAATTATGGATCATAATATTCTTTACTAAACCTTTATTTAATTTGCAAAAACCATACAGACAACATATTTTTAACTACATTAGCAACGCATCCCGCAACTAAAACTATAACAGTCTATTTTAAAGTATAATACACCATAAGTAATAAGAATTATATAAGATAATTAAAGCATTTTCACCTTATATTCAAAATAAATCATTAAAGTTTTCAAATCGATAATTTTTTGCTAAATTTTATATCTTCTTTTATTACATACACTATTTACACAAATATAGTTCTGTGCCCAACGCATTATATAAATTAATAATAAAGTTATGCGTTTTGGACTTACAAAATATTCATAGACTAATAGAAACAAAATCGCCATGCAAAATCACACTCATGAAATTATAACTTAAGATAATAAAATAATTTTAACGGTAAATCAACTTAGAATTGATTCACTTCTTTGATATAATTGGAAGCATAGTTTTACAATTAAGAATCTAAAAGTGAATTTTAATAAAATCATGTCTGTGGAGTTATCAAATTCTGAGTTGAATGTAAACACAAAGTACAGACGGCTTTAAAATATAATGTATCGGATTCTAAAGAGTTTTGGTACCGAGGAGGATATCGGAACGTGGTAATTCCACAACCTCAACATACTCATAAACACGAACTGATTACTTCTGTCTAACAACTAGTAAAGCTATTTACATAAAAAAAATATAACAAAACAGGCCGTCACGTCATGATGACGTCAACGGTTGATTGCATTGCAATGCACATAAGTCTTCAGCATAATGCCACAAAACAATTATATAAAGTAAGTTTTTACTGATCGTAACGAGATCGTGCATAGGATATCATCCACAGGGATGATCTTCACTGGAACTGTAGCGGAGGCCTGCCCACTCCCGGAGCGCCCCGGCCTCACTCGCGGCTTCCCGCGTTCGAGGTATATCTTACATTTACCATAAATTAAATCGTCTCTTAACCTACTCATCACTTAGCATGACGGCCTATCGGGCTGGTTCTGTTTTTCAGGCGTCTGTAACAAAAGAAAAACATCTGTAAGTATTTGTGAAAGCTACTTCCATGAAGTGGGTGTATCGGTTCAGTTAAGAGGGGTTTCGTTTGATATAGGAACAGAAGGTGAACCCATGTAATCAGTAAACGAGGGTGCGACTACCAATCATTGCACAGATGCGCGCGCACATGTCCCGTTGGAGATTGGTATTATTGCTATGAGAATTAATAACTCTGTATTAGACTGCGACCGGTAAGTTCAATTAGTGGATGTGTTAATAATATATGTTTTGTTTTAGCTATTAGTCTGTTTTCATTTTACTAATTGCAGTAAATAGCGTATATTGGGTGGCACACTCGCATCCCACCCGCGTCCGGCCATCTGTCACCATATGTGCTCTGTTTTAACAATGTTTTAATTCATTAGCGTCCGGACAACGGGCTTGTTATACTGCTACCCTAACATTAAGTGCAGGCGTCGGAGTTATCGCTTCATGAAGAGCTCACGTGATGCACGTGAGGATTCGGTAATTGTAACTTGTGAATGGATGTTTACAGAAGGTACTTCAGAGGTAGTTTCAGTATAGCTTTCTGAGTATCAGCGAGTGTTGGATTACTGTTTCCCGTCCGCGCACATCCGCGACACAGCTGAACGGCCGCACGTGGCCACACCCTATTTACGGACGTGCCGAAGGGAGAGCACACATGTCCCGAACGGATCGGGAGTTTGCGAGAGCGCACACGTGAAATCCCTTTATGAGAGGAGCGTTGGGTAATGAATAGGTATGTACATCGCATTTATTTAGCTATCCGGCCACCGGCACCGTCACGTGTGTTCACACGCAGCTGCGAGCGACCGTTACCCGCACAATGCCCTCGATCGATCCGTCGTCGATGGAATCCAAGCTATCGGCGAAATCGATGCACGTGCGCTGAGATCCGCCGAGACATTTCGCGGTCGAGCTGCATTGTCCACGGCGCCGTTGTCCGTTCTGTTTATCGCTTCGGAGAAGCGTAAAGGTGCTCGTAAAACTTTCACGTACGCGATTTATGCGCAGAGCGCACCGAGACAAAGATATTCAGAGGAGGGAATATGCGTGGGCGTAGACACCTGGCCACTCGTTAGTGCCGCCTGTCCGAGGAGCTTGCGTGGGCGAAGGCCTCCGACGCCCTACTACGGAAGGATGATTTAGTTTTATCAAACTGCGCACCGCCGCTTAAAGTCGTTCTGCTGAATAATCCTCGCAACTTTATTGATATTTTACGAGAAGAATTTAAGGTCTCTTAATTGATTCTGAATGGTATGATGCGGGCTAGTAATTGAGTGACTAAGTGATATTGACATGTTGTAACAGACTAAGATTAGAACAAATATCATCGGTGTGTTTTTGAACTATTCATTATAGCTAGTATATATTGTGTGCGTTGAAAGGGTTAACGCGTCACATGAGTAGAGCCCCTAAATAGGGGTGCAACCGCGACGGATTACGTGTCGAACACCGTTTATTATGATATTTAACAGCTTATTACCAAATGGAGTGCAAAGCCAAACAAAATAGTACAATCGTGAGAGAACGATTGCTGACATTTATAAGGTGAAAGGGTAAGCGAGCAAAGTGCGCAATAAAGTCGTGGTTTACTTTGATTAAATGAAGGCGATGTGAGTGCGGTTGTCTCGCGAGCCGGATAGTCCCACGGCCTCATGGGCTTCGGCGATGCAGCTGCAGGCTACAATTACGGTCGCGAACACTATGACGGCGTATGCTCGTGACGGTGTTTGTGGCTTGGCAATGCCCCGTCAGATACAGCCGTGAAATGCCGTCTCACGATGCGCGAGTTGAAATTTAGATACCGACACGAACGCCGCAAGGTATAAATTAATTACAAAATGTTTTTAACGTTTCGTGCGTAACTTTCCTTAACGACCAGAAAGTCAACAAAAACCAATGTCCTTGCGCGAACGAATGCTTCGCATTCGAATTCAGGAATGCGGTCCGATTAGTCAACATTCCGATAGTTCCTATATTGTTGTAGGCGTTATATTAGTAAATATTGGCCGGTATCATTTCACCGCCGGCGCCTGCGGCCAATTAAAACGCGACGGGTTGTTTATCTACATAGGTGATTAATTTATGGAGTTGTTAAACTTGAAATAAAGAAGATTTGAAAGGAAATAAACTTAATTTATATTATCTATGGCATAAATAATATAAATTTTGTGTTTGAACAAAAACAAAAAGGTTTATTAAATTTCAGATGTTTCGGACCACACTTGAATTTAACTTCTTTATTTGTAGTTGATATTTCATTATTGAGTAGCAATAATATATTTAAAAAAAATTGTAATATTATATATCATTAGCATTTCGCCATGCAGTTTAGCTTTCTTGTACAGTCTACGTGACCAGGTGTGCAAGTCGTTAAATCTCTATTATTTAATGTAGTCAGTAATTTGGCGACACTCGCGTAAATTCAGCACGGCAGCTCACATCACCTAAATCACGCTTGTTTTGAACATTTCCCTCAGTGGAACAACTGGCAGTGATGAAAATTTACGTTGCGCGACCAAGTATTAACGAGCGCCAGGGCCAGGAACGCAGGCGAACGAATAAATCCTTCGAAATGCACCTGCTGCACAGATATCAAGATCCAATCTCGATGCATTCGGATTTTGCCTTGGAAAATTAAATCTGAACTGTCTCGCTATTTTTGTGAATTGTACAATTGCGCACACCAGGGCGATGAAATCATCACGATAGGCATCAATTTCGGGCAATTATCTCTACCGTTTTTGTGAGTGGAGGAACTAAATGGGAATGACGAAACAACAATCACGCAGGTGTCAGGCGGAATGTTAAACGAGACAGAATAAATATGTGTTGAATATTCAGATTGTGTGTCAGTACACGACCGTTTTGCGCGGCGCCGGCGCAGGTGGCCAAGCCTCAAGGCTGAAATTCAAAACAGCCGTCACGCATGCGTGAGCCGCGGCTGTGATTGCTTGAGCATTTACCGATTCTAGTTTCATAACACAGTTAAGCACACCGTAATCAAAACGGCGGAATCGAAATAGCTGCTGTTGGGTACGTGAAAGTAGTCAATACATTGTTTGATAACGTGAGTACAATATAGTCAGATTGTAATCATTAAGATCAGATAGATAGATGAAAATTAAAGAGGGAAAAAAAACAAAAATAAAACGCCATCACATAGTAGGGAATAATTTTAAACATTATGTTAGGCGGGAATGACATTTTCCTTGAAATAATTACCTATGTATTGGAATTTGGGTAATTTTGTCCGATTGTTTACAGAGTTATTAGCCAGCCACGTGTTGTGAAACTCGGCATCTCCGCTTTTACCTTCCCGCGCTTGCGAAACGTGCAGGTGCGCGCCGCAAAAACATCGACGCAACAGATTTCATTTACTTTTTATGCAATAGTGTCTTTTTATCTAACAGATAGAACGCTTAGAGTATACAATTAAAATTTATGACGTTGTTTAATTAATTTTGTCATTAGAATATAGTGAAACTACGAAGTAATTTATTTACTCATTTTGGACTTGCTCTAGTGATTTAAGCATGTTTTGATTGAAATGATTTGAAATATGCACCATCGAAATAGCTTATTTAGATTTTAACGGAAGACAAAAAAAAGTTTTAATTGTAAAATTTTCACACTCGACATTACTTATTAACATTTTAATAGGGAGACATGAAATATTTAACAAATAAATGTTGTTATAATCTTCGGTGAACTTACCGTTTGAGTTCTGTGTTCCTGGCTTGAAGATGTGTTGTGGAGGATTGTGTTGGGTGTCGGGCGGGGTCCGAGCGGGCGCCGTTGAGGGCGCGGCTGCGGCGCCGCGGCGCAAGGCGGCGATGCCAGCGCACCTTCCGCGTCGAACTGACCCACCGCAGGGTGGTTCTCCAGCGCCGACTGCAGGTCGCAAATGTAGTCGATCACGTGCTGGATCACCTCCAACTTGGAAATCTTCCTGTTCTTCGGCATAAAAGGCACCAAATCCTGCAGCTTCGACAAGTACATTTGTATCTCGGCGTTCTCTCCATCCCTGTGCCTCTGCACTCGGCCGCTGGCGATGGCGGGAACGGAGGCGCCGGTGGCGCACACTGCGGTTATCGCTTTCATCGTGAGTTCACTGAACACGTATATGCACTGGGTAATAAACTACGCGCGGACGTGCGTCTATTGCGGATCGCGAGCGAGGAATGAGGAGATGCGCGGACCGATGTTGTATTTATGGGTGCGGGTGGGGCGCGGGGCGGGACCGGGCGGCCCAATGGGCGCGCGGGGCGGGGGCGGCGAAGCCTGATTTTTCCCATGGCGGCGGCGGGCGCCGCGTCTGCTGCGCTGGGCGGCCCTGAGTAAGGCCGTTGCGCTCATGACATGCACTTTGTCCCCTCTGTACTGTTTGTTTGTGATTCTATTTTAACCATTGTTTCTGGTCAACAAAAGTAAGGGAGATTGACATTTGTTTATAATTATAAGAAAAATGACTATCGTAGACTATGTTAGATTCAAGTATCTAAAAGTATAAGTTTTGTTGTTAAATAATACCTACATAGATATTTGGAATTAAATTGGTGTTATTTCAGTTGAATGAAGAAGTTAATAAATAATGTAGTATGGTGTTCTTTGTACAAAGTACATGAAATGAAATAATAAATCCAAAGGAATAGTACTTGAGCATGTTATTAAATTACCTAAAGAACACAAGTTGAATTTTACAGTTACTTTCTATTAGCGCGTTTATGTCTAATTTAAATAAAACTATGCAGATGTGTATGTTATTTATAGTTTCGGTGCAAAATAATACATTACTTATTGATATGGTTTTATGATATTGGATTTACGATGCAGATTTACGTTTTAATTACCTTAAATACTTGTGTACTTGAAATTAACTTGCACTCGCTAGGTCTACTTTTATTAAGTTCCTATCTTATCAAGCGGAACTGATAATTGAAATCTTAGAATTCACACAAAATTTTTGATGGATATTTCATGTGTCATCTGTTGTTTTGATGTTTATACGTTTATCATACAGTGCACCTGCCTAATCTGTTTTAAGATATGCGTGAGAACAGTATTTTTACCTTTTTAATCATCATTTGGCAAACATAGGCAACTATATAGAGCAAGGGCCATTGCTTTTATAACTTAGGTGTAATTTTTTTTTTGTTATTCATGACATTTTGTAGTTGCAATATGTTCTTTTTACTAGTTACCTTTTGAAATTTTATAGGGAACGTTAAGAAAATTATTTAAAAAAAAAAATCTCATTCTATTAAAATTGGGTCAGCAGTGGTGTTCTGTAGAAACAAATTCACTTTACACCGAGGAATCCGTGTTGTGACTTGAATTTAGAATACGAATTTCAATCACACTATCAGCTATCTTTGCGGCTGAATTTCACTTAGATTTAGCATTAAGTGAGTTACTGACTAAATTCGTAAGGACTTGAAATATTATATAGGATTATAAAGGTTCTATAAAAACATTTACTTGTAGGACAATCATTTCCCATATGATTAAATAAAGATTGAAAATATTCATCGGCAATGTAAGGGAATAAAGATTACTCACTTAAATCTTATTCAAAGTGGTTAAGTACCAGTAGTAAAAACTTAACTGGACACGAAAGTCAAGTCACCGGCAAAAGCTAGGTTGATAATAGGTTGAAAATTTAAAAAGGCTTTTTTTTCATTTAAGGCTCAATAGGTGCGCAGGGGAGGCTGGAAACGAACAATAGGCGAACGTGACGGCATCCACTTGTCGCGGTCACACGACAGGTCCGGAGGCTGCGCATACACACGACGAAAAAATAAAGATTTATTCCTTTGTAAATTGAATCGTGTAACTGCCTTAAAAAGTTTCAATACTTACGCGATGATAGGATTGCTTTGGTTCAGGGTCCGATATCGAATTACAATACTTTTTATTCGATTCAAGAACGAAATAATCTAGTACTTAAAATTCCAATAATAAATACAATATATATGACATAGATATAAAACTGAAGCCAACAATGTGATAATCAATCGGTAAAAGTGGATTTTTCTAAGGTGAAGTAAAAAACTGACATCCCAACGAATGTTTAGAATAATTTCTAGTTCACGAGGTTGAAAATACTGTTAATGCATGCTAGACTTTTTTACTTTTCGAATATGCTTTTTGTGTGCAAGTGTTTTAACGAACTAAAATTAGATATCATACAATCTTAGGGCGGAATTACTCATCATTCAAATGAAAACTTTTCCGACTTTAATTATGCAGAGGTTTGGTATTCGCAATATTCCTTGCGGGATTCAAACGTGACCACACAGGTCTGAATCGTAATAATATCGAAGGGCCATAAAAAATGAAGGCAAAAAGTCACGAGTCACCTTGGGCCGGGTAAAGAACTCAGGTAGATTGCTTCATTTTGAGTTATTTGGACCGGACCGCTTAGTGTGTAAGTGCTCCGTTAAATTGGTATTAATAGCTTGGCGATATTTCTAAATTACAAAGTGTTACCATGGTAAGAAACAAATTATCATCATATTAATACGTGTAGGAAAAACTTTCATATCAATTTTTAACTTGTTGGGTTTTGAAAAAAAAATACATTTATATGGAGAGAGATCGCATAAAAGTAAAACTTTATATAATAATGCACTTATGTACACATAATGACTCTGACAGATTTTTCACAGGAAACGAGTCTCCATTTCTTAGAGATTCAGCATTATTTTCTTTGTAGGAACATAACAGAGTAATCAATCATCATATTAATACGCGAAGGAAAACCTATCTACTGCTTTTTGAGCAAATTTTAATTTAATTAAAATCACTGCATAAAGTTTATAGGTATGGAGAAGAAAAGCTAAAAATCTCTATATCCTATACACAAGGGAATTTCTATTTCCCTTGGTCACGCCATAACTTGAGAACGACGTTTTATCGATTTCAACCATATTTTTTAAAGTTTTCTAAAACTTTGTAGAAAGTTCTTACGGGAAGAAATTAGGAAACTTACGTAACATTATTAGCGAACATAAGAAAACATAACTTACAAACTACATGATAATAGGTGGTCCTGAAGTTGGATTTCAGTTTTTTTATGTTTTTGTCAGGCATAACAAAGTCTATCGGGAACGCTAGTTTTATATAATAGTAGAAATCATATTACTTATAATAAAAATAAAGTACGCATATACACTACTTACATAATAGTGTCAATCCTAAATTAGCTTTATTGTTGTTAACTTATCCTAATGTTCCTTTTTCTAAGTTTATAAAACCGAAGGTGCAAACGAAAGGTAATAAGACAAGTATTTGAAATCACTTAGTCAAAAATATTTAATTTTATGTTTGAAACTTTGTTCAATATTAATTATTGGTTATGGCTACACTAGGCCGCATTCTATATATAATTCAGGTACCTATCTATTTCCGTTAAGTGCACTAAGATATAGAGCTCTGTGACAGACAGACAGGGTAAAATATAGGCTATAATATAGGCTTCTGTTTGAGTACAGAACCCAAAAATTAGTTATATTATTTTTCAACTCAATTTATTGTCAAAACGTGCCTCCACAGCTCCCTTTGATATTTTAATTTACTGTCACAATGTTACCTTTATTTTGAAACCTATTCTATTCTCACGTATACTAAACACTTGACGTCATTTCCTTAACACCATCTTTGTGTTTAGGGTCCCTCGCTGTGCAATTGACTGATTTGTCTTAAGTGTACAGGTATCGTCCTTTGTCAAGTCGTGGACAGACAGGTTGCAATAATAAAATAAAAAAAAAATACCCACGCAAACACCTTACGAGAATTTCAAATGGCGACAGTCTGCGTAAGGTGCTTTTATGATTCGAAGTAATATATAAAGGTTTTGGAAACAATAAAAAAAAACACTCAAAACATTTTATGTCAACGCAGCGCTGTAAAGATAATTTGTAAGAAATTTTGCTCTTCCGACATTGGAGTGTGAAATTTCGTTCAGTTCCTAAAATTTCGACAAAACTTATTTCAATAAACGCATTTTATGGTTAATACCGTGGTACACTTCGTATTTGTATTTTACGTGTTTGTAAATTGAAATGAGTACTCATGATTGGTTTAAATAAAAAATGAAACAGTAAAATAATGTTCGTTTTAGATTGAAAACGATGGCGCTATAATATTTCCTGGTTTAATTTTCAAAAAGACAACCAAGAAACACTGCCACATAAAAGGATAAAAGTTATTCTGCTTAGTACAGCTTTTTATGTTGTAGCGCTATATCTGAATATCAATAATTTGGTTATCTTTTTGAGAATGAAAACTGTTACGAATAAAACGGCACATCCCTAACTTCACTGCCGTGCGGTGTCCGCATAATTTGAATTATTTTTCGTGCGCGGGTAAAAACGTTTTTTTTTTGTCACTGTAATGGCGTCTTGAGAACTCGTGAGGTTCATGTTCGAATTGCATCGCCGATTATATGTGGCTTTGATTTGTTTGTACCGGATATCTCATTGTAATATTGTAGTAATAACTTAAATTATAAGAATCCTAGTGTTGTTTGTGTAAGGTACATGATTTGTGAAATTGATTGTGAGTGCTAACCCATTTTTGGATCGCTATAAGCGCGGTTGTTGGATGAGAAGAGTCCAGAGGAATTGATCTGCCTTCCTATCCCTTCCTATCCATTTCTTAGGCAGATACCAAAGCGACAGACGACTTTACTTACATACAACTTGGTAAGTCATTTAGTTAGTTAAGTAAACCCTGCGACATCGCAGGAGCTATTGTGTTCCAAGCCCAGCTGAAGTATTTGTTGGGACAATACAATCTTTACTTCCACTGCGCGGTCCCCTCGGCTTGGGCTGGTAGTGAACACAACAGTTTCTGGTAGCAGAGCGTGGTTTGTTGACCTGAAGGTCCACGCTCCATGCTAAATTTGTGAATATTGTTAAAACATTTTTTGAATTTGTTGGTCGCTTATGAAAAGGATACTCTTTGTACAAGGTTCCAATTGTCCATATTTATAGGTTTTGTTTGCAATTTGGTTCTGGTATAATATTGTTGTTGTTGACAAGGAGGTAAAGAACTTAATTCCGGTTGCATAAATTGTATAATTTAGATTGTTTTCATAAAAACATTAATAAGTTTCTTTACTTCTTTGTTTGTTGACATTAGGTGAATAAAACATGCAATTTCTCTTATGT